GAAAACCAAAACCGACCGAGCTCTGCAGAAAATCCATTGACAGGGCGCTTACGCAGAGGTTTCAGCTCGGAGTCCTTGGCAAAAGGCTCAAGCGCCGCACGCGGGAGCCGAATGAAAATTCGTTCTTGGCACCGCGTGTGTGTGTGTCAGTGTATTAAGCAGCTCATTATTATTTGCTTTAGAGTTCATTATTATTTACTTTACAGTCATGTCCGGAGGCTAAAGCGGGATTGTGCTGGGTGCTAAGCAAACATACAAGGACAAGAGGCTGCGTGGAGCAGGGCGATACCAGGCTCGGGCCGGTTGCGCCGCTGAAGACTGCTGGGCAACTTCTGCCGCCGGCCCGGCGAGCACGGCCAAGGCGGTCTGCCCCTTCTGCCCAACCGGGCCCAAAGCAGGCACTTGGAGAAAAAGGCCACATAGCATCCGAAAGGCACACGCGTACTGTCCGAATGGGGCCTCTCCGGGTGGAAGCGGGGGACGAAGCCAGCCGGGGGGGCCTAGCTAAGCTCCTTTTCTGCATTTGCTTGAATTTTTCACTTTTACAGCTTGGACACCTCATTTTTTGGCTAATCTCACTTTTCCAAAGCCATGCCAAAAAGGGCAGAGCTGGGGGTTTCCCCGGCACGCAGGGGGCTGTGAGAGGGGTAGGAGAAAGCGACGGCTGTCCCTGGTCACCAGGGGCTCGGGCTTTTCCGAGCCATCTGGACGGCAGCAGCTCCGGGTGGGAGAACCTCCCTAATGCACGTCCCCCGAGTCCTGCTGCGGCCACGCGTCTCCCCCCGCACCGAGCTCCCGGGCCTGGCCTGCCTGCGTGCCGGTTATCTCGGCTGTCGCGGGGGGAACAGGAAGGAGCTGCTCCGCTGGGAAGGCTGGGTGCCGCTACCGGACATCCCATGGTGGGCAAGGCTCATTGCAACGCTAACGGTAGCGTTACCACCACCACCACCACCATGTAAACGCAAAGACAGGGGTTTAAGCCAGCAGAATCTCAAATATACTGTGGATGCTGGACTACAAACGGGCATGGAAAATAGCTAAGATGTAGCATAAAAGCTTCAGCGGGTTGGTGCTCGGAGCGTCGCCCAGGAGGGCTGGAGCTCTCGGTCACCTGCCCGCGGCAGGCCAAGGAGACGAGGAGCAGGGAAGGGACAGCAGGCTGCCGGCTCGGCAAGGCCGCCCCTTTGGCACGTAAAGGCTGCTCACTTTGCCTCCAGACTTTTGCTCAAATGAGTTAAGGATTTTCTGCAGTAATTTTAGTAGCAAAACCAGTGTCAGCTGGTGTCTCTCCCAACCTGGTGGTCTACAGCCCTGAAAGCATGTCTCTGGGCCCTGGATGCCCAGACCAGCCTCGAGGAGCTTTTTGCCTACTGTAACAAAGTGGTTTTCCTTAAAACAAGCATCTTACGGCAGAGATGTCCTGCACGCAAAGGGATCCCTCGCCCTGCAGCCCCCGGGGGGACCCGAATGTGGGGAGCGGGCAGCGAGGGGCCCCATCTCCCCTGGTCAGGATCACGTCCCACCAACCCGGCAAGGCAGAGGTGACGGCTGGAGGGTGATCTGTGCTCGGCGCCTTCCTACCGCAGGAGGACCCACGCCGG